ATATAGGTGCAAAGTTCTCATTAATGTGAATGAATTAGGTAAGTCCAAGTAACATAATTACTCCAATTAGTCAAAAAGATCCCACGACAGTCTTCCTGCTCCATCATCAGATCAAATTCGACCATCGGCAAGTTGTAGCGTTGTAAAAAGCCTATTAAAACAACATGCAAAAGCACTATTCGCCCCTACAATTTTCGAAAGTTCCCCCTAAGATTCCATTATCAGATCCTGACCTTATGAAAATGGGACCCTCTCAGAAGTATAAGCTTTCAAACAAAACAAGAATTTTGGAAATCGGTTCATAAATGGCGGAGTAATCGGTGAACATACAAAAAAAAGAAACAATCAACCGAACATAGTACCTCCTCCTTTTTTTGAAGTCGGTTAAAAATAATAGGTAAAATGCACCAAATTGGAAATTTTATAGTTAGTTTCGGTTTTGGTTTCGGTTTCGGCCGAAACTGAAGCCACGGCCGAACATTCGGTTTCGGTTTCGGCCGGGAAACCAGTTTCGGTCGGACACTAGACTTCCCCAATATATAATATTGCTTCATGTCGATTACACTGTGAGGCCGTGGTATCACACCGGTCCAGCCGGCCCATTCGTGCAGATGCTTGGCTTTCCTTTATGTAGCGTAATCTCAATAGATCGACCAGATAAAAAACAGAAATAAAACAACAAAAACAATAGCAAATTAAGTATTTATTGAGACAGTTTACAAAAAAAATAAATGCCTTTTGAGACCGATTTACGTCGCACGCACGTTAGTTGTAATTGAAGAATTAATATTAAGTATTAATTAATACAAAACATTAAAAAGAAACCGAGATACAAAAAAATGCAGTTAACATTAACCTCCTTATAACAAAACAAGACTTAGCTTTATCTAATTTTAAAACTCAAAGGGCTGATTTTTCAATAGTCACATAAATGTTATCTGAGGAATAAAATTGTTGCTGTCACTGTCTTATAAAAACATTCTGACGCGACAGCATCATAATTATTCCCCAGGTAACTTTGATCTAACCATTGAAAAATCAGCCCTAAGTCAGGTTTTGTTTTTAAATCTTATCCTTACCTATCTTCAATACCTTTGAAAAACCAAAAACTGGCTCAATGGTTTAGACCTAGGCTAAAGAAAAATCTTGTCTTGTGTTGGCCGTAGACTCTGGAAGTAGACTTGAATTGAACATTTTGATTGCCACAGACACCAAACAAAAAAAAACGGATAACCATACCTGATGGTGAGCAATCAAAGATGTGCGTTGCTTTTTGGGGCTTTTTTGTGGAGGGGATAATCGTTAAATGACTTCACCTGCCCGGGGTGAGGCGAGAGGGAGTGTCAGACTCTTACTGACTAAAAACCCTCCTGTTCATTCTCCTGCTCTGGGCCGAGGTCGCGGTGCCTCATTGCGCTTACCCCGCAACCCCGGCTGAACATCAGCCCTATAGGGCCCCGTTCGTGGTGGTCTATCGGCTCTTTTGACAAGCTTCCCTGACGTGGCGAACAAAAAATTAAGGACATATTTCACCGGTTTCATAAAGTCCCTTTATGATAGTCTAATTTATCTGGTAAAGAGTGGCTCTATAAAAGAATCCTTCAAAAAACACACCTAAAATAAAATATTTGAGACATTAAGATCAAGTTTTTGAACGCTATTTCTATAATTTTGAGCTTATAATTATATTGTTAGTTTATTTAAATATTTCTAATTTTAATTTCAATACATAAAGTTTATATACTTAGAACTTATTTATTATTATATATAGTGAACACTACACAGTATTTTTTATATAAAAATAACAACCAAGTGTTTTTTTGTTTTTTTTTTTTTTAATAAAATACCAATTTTTCATACTTTATTTTATGGGAAAAGTTTGCCACGGCTACTGAAAACCGCTGCAACTACTGTAAGCCAGAATCTACAGTAGATAAAACCATGAAAACACCGGAACACTGAAGTCCGGCGCGTCCAACGGACATGAATGACTGTCTTGGATCCCGCAACGAAATAAATCAGAAGATATTATATACGGATAGTAAAAAATAAAATAGTTTTAATTTGTTTTAAGTTTTTAAGTTCAATTATAATTTGGGGTAAGTCTAACGCTGATCGTCGTGGTGACTCGGCGACTAAACCTGGCAAGTACCAATGAGACTTTTCCTAGTTATATGTACTTTTTAAGATTATTTAGACACCACTAACATACGGTCGGTGAAAGAAAACATCGTGTGGAAATATAATTTCTAATTATAAGTTTGAAATCGCCAATCCGCCTCGAGCCAGCGTGATGTCACTTTGGAATGAGCAAGCTTGACTGACGAACAGACTGACAGACTATTATTCCATTTGACGTTTCAAAAGTACCCTTTGCATGGAATAAATATTTTTATAATGTTAATTCAACCAGGCAAATAGAATATTAAAATTGATATTTTAATATAAATAGAATTATAAGTTTTTTTTACATACATACCTTACAAGTCTTAATTATATATGTAATCTACATATTTATATAATATATATAAGGTGGTATTAAAATATCTGACATAGTTTTAATGGACTTCTTCCGAGTTATATGTACATACAGTCAGGGGTCAAAAATGCAATTGCACTCTACCAATTTTAAAATGACCAAAATATCTTTGTAGAATAGAGTCAATAGTTGAGGACTGCTTTAATTTATAGCAAAGAATCTAAATTATTGAATAAACTGGCTATAAACCATTGAACTTTTACTACAAAGAAATTTTAGTTATTTTAAAATTGGTTGAGTGTAATTGCATTTTTGACAGAGCTTGGTGATTAATCCTCAAACCTTCTCCGTGTGAGAAGAGGCCTTTGCTCAGCAGTGGGCACTTATAGGCTGATGATGATGAAATTACTATTGGCTCTATTCTATATAAAAGGGTTTATAAACAACAACGGTGCAGAGTGCCAAAAGCCTGGATAGCTATCTATACTAATATTATAAAGAGGTAAAATTTGTAAGTTTGTATGTAGGGGGTAATATTTGGAACAGGTCAGGTGGGATTGCCAAAATTCTTTTACTGATAGATACCTACAATGTTCCTGAGTGCTATAGGCTATAAAACATCACGCTACGATCAAATGGAGCTGAGCAGCGGGTGAAACCGCGCGAGAGTAGCTAGTATACTAATTAAGCAAGTCAAATATACTTTTATAAGTTTTGTGTGGTATTAAAATTGACAAATTAATATCTATAGACACAATACTATCTCCCATTGCAACCAGAGTAGACACTTTTATATCACCTTATATAATTTGAAAAAAAGTAACGATTCCACATGTTTAGTTAAAAGCAATTGCATACCAACAGAAACTTAATATAAATATGATTAAGTATTTTTTCTTTTAGGGCTGATTTTTGAATAGTCTGAAAAATGTTATCTGAGGAATAAAATAGTTGCTGTCACTGTCTTATACAAACATTCTGACGCGACAGCATCATTATTATTCCGCAGGTAACTTTTATCTAACCATTGAAAAATCAGCCCTTAATATAATAAGTATAATACGGTAGTTTCCAACAAGTCAAATTCAATACTTTTATCCAAATGTCAAAAACTATACTTTTCTATGAAGTTTGTATGAAACTCTGAATTATGACGTCATACTATTTTTGAGTCAAATAGCTTACTTATTTTATAAAAATTTGCTAAAAATATCGAAAATTTAGTGTATTGACAGATCAATGAATAAAAGTATAGTTATTTATCAATATTTAATTGTATTGAAAAGTCTAATTTTTTTTTTTGACCTAGGAAACTACCTAATTTATGTATGGTATGCTAATAAAAAAAATATTGATAGAATTCAAATATGAAGTAAACAGCTCAACTATGGAAAATTTCGATATTAATTGCATTACTTAAATATAAGTTTACAGTTTATAATGGGACAAAAACAAAAAAAAAACAGTGCCAGAGTGAGATATTTCTACGATATTTTAATTTTTATTGTTACTTTTTAATATTTCCATACACGGAGTTCAAGTTACAAAATAGTTAAAAAATATTATTAAAAAATTGCAACTTATATATAAAAAGTTCTTAAAACAATATAAGTTTTGTATTATATACTTATATTTTTATATATAATAAGTGACATTATAACTAAGTTATTTTATATTTTAAATGCATTAAAAATAATTTTATCAATTTCAACAAACAATATCAAAATTGAATTGTGAAATAGGGTAACCATGGAGTTTCTTGCTCGTTCTTCTCAATTGGAATCTACACTTTGAAAACAGAAAAACTATTTAGTTTCATTGTTTTAGTAGGTACAGATATATGTAATGTATTTTTTGAAAATAATTGTAAGTTTGCATCAATATTAAATTTTTTGTGTATGATTTCCAATATAGCTTGAAACTAGTAGAGTCTTTCTCAGGTAATTCCATTAACCACCGGTTTCCGAGAGGCCGATCAATGTTAAAATCAATTTAATCTCTTGTCAAGTCATCTGATTGGTTGACTGAATTATCAACAACCAATCAGATGACTTGACAAGAGATTTAACAGGAGATTAGTTAATTTTAGTGTTGACAAGCCTTTCAGAAACCGGGTGTTAGTCAGTTATTATCAGTACATAGTATAAAACAAAGTCGCTTTCTCTGTCCCTATATAACTATGTACGCTTAAATCTTTAAAACTACGCAACGGATTTTGATGCGGTTTTTAATAGACAGAGTGATTGAATAGGAAGGTTTATATGTATAATAACATCCATTAAATAGTGGAGAAATTTAGAATCAGTATTGCGCCCGTGTAAAGCGGCCTCGAGTCGCTAGTTATCAACATATTTAGATTGTCAAAATTGATAATATTATTTCAAATTGCTATAGAATTTACGAGGCAAGAGTTAAAATTGAAATCTTAGTAATATTTAACGCACATTTTATCAATTTTTAAAAAGCCACAGAAAAAAAAAATTTAATTGGAAATAAGTACCTAAAAAACCTTCATTATTTATCAGCAAATGCTATTTTTGATTTTTTTAAGGAAAGTTGTTTGCCTTAATAAAATGCTAAAGCTGCCTTTTATTAACCAAATCTCAACCTATAGACATTAAAATCTTATTTAAACAGAGCTATAATTACTATCGATTAAGTCACTTTCATTATATCAGATCAAAACACTGCATAAGTGAGTATAAGTAAGCGTAAGTGGGCATAAGTAAGCATAAGTGGACATAAGTGGACATAAGTAAGCATAAGTGGACATAAGTGGGTATAAGTGAGCAATTTTTTTACACAAAATTTCAATTTAAACTACTTGCCTTCGTGTTAGTGTTACCCTATTCGATAACTAGGGAAGCGCTAGCGTAGGAGACTGATGAATCTTGAGAGTTCATACATTGGGACGATTGAGCGTATTTCAAGAATTTCATCGACATGCGAGGCGAATTCGACGAACTGCGGAGCTTCGCTATGGCCTGTAAAAAATTTAATAATAGAATTGAATTGCTTTTTGTCAGTCTAGCTAAAACTCGAGAAAGGCTACATCGACATGGCTTATGAGGTCTAGTAATGTTCTAGGACAGGAGAGGCTTAAAAAATTAGGAAAAAAATATATACATAAGTTATATAACGAGGTGGTACTAACTTTTTTGGGTCAGCTAGTATTTAATAACATTTTTAATTCAAACACGGACATTTTTTTGTTACTTTGAATATTGGAGAGCCAAGCTTCGGCACGAATGTGTGGGCTGGACCGGAGTGTTACCATGGCCTCACAGAAAGCCGACATGAAATAACACCGCGTTGTGTTTCGCCGTGTGAGTGAGGTTACCGGAGGCCAAATCCTTCCCTACCCCCATCGTCAATCCCCAACTCTCCTATCCTTCAATACCTAATAACCAACCAGAGGTCGGCAACGCACTTATAGTAACTCATTGGGTATCACGACTGTTCATGGACGGCGCTGATTGCTTACCATCAGGTAATCCTTCGTTTTCCGACCTATGCCGTAAAAAATGCACAAAGATTAAATCCTACTAACATTATTATAAAATAAATGTGACATTTTGATGAATGTTTGTTAATCTGTAACACAAAAACGGCTGGACCGATTTGGTTGAAATTTTGTATGTAGATAGATGATACCTTGGATTAACATATAGGCCGGTATTTATCAACATACGATGCAGGTGAAGCCGCGGGTAAAAGCTAGCAAATAATTAAGTTACCTGTAAAAGCACGCCAATGGGATGTCGTCCACATATAGTATTTCCATACTTGTTAAGATAGTCAGTGAACACACGTGGCTCCATCTTTTCAATGATGTCCATACCCTGGGAGAGAACCAATGAGGCAAAAAATTAGTGTAATATAAATTTATTGGAAAAAACCCGAATTACGAGAATTGCTCAACTAGTTTCGAGGCACAAGGGACGCGAAGCAGTGATTTGAGTCGGTTTTTTTTTTCGTCAGGCTGGCCCGGAGGTTAAGGCGACCGCTTTTCATGCATAAGGATGCAAGTTGGAAACCTGGCAAGACCCAAGTGACTTTTCTGATTTATATTTACTTTCTATGAATATTTAGACACCACTGACAAACGGCGAATTTCTAATTGTAAGTTTGAAATCGCCAATTCGCCGTGAGTAAGCGTGTTGATTCATGTTCATATCTTCTCCGTGTGAGAAGAGGCCTTTGCTCAGCAGTTGGCACTTATAGGCTGATGATGTAATTGTGATGTGTTTCGCCGTGTGAGTGAGGTTACCGGAACCTCAATTCTTCCCCCCATCCTTAATCCTCAAATCCCTTATCCTTAAAACCCTATATAACCCCAGCTAGTAACTCCTTTGATACCTACAAGTGTCAATGGGCGGCGCTGATTGCTTACCATCAGTTAATCCGTCTGCCCGTTTGCCGACTTAAGACATAGAAAAAGGACAAGATAAAGAAGAGAAGAAGAAGAAAAATTAAAAGAACGTACCTGTTTATCCAACCACTCGATGCTCTGGTAAATATGACCCCTAGAATTATCTTTCCATGTATATCTGAACCTAGATCCCCAATGACAGAAATCTGATGATATCACCAACAAGTTTTGGGGATCTGCCAAGTATGGGGCCAAAATCGCCCCGTATTTAGCCTCCTTTTCTGGGGTCAGCGAGCCAACTAGGATCGGGATGATCGTGAAACCTGTTTGGTATCTGAAATAGGAATATTATAATACAACATCATGTATTTTAAATCGTGGAAGGTGTTGGTAGAGTTGGATTATTTAGAAATTGTGAGATTTTCTGACGACTAAGTGTAGGAGAGCCATGCTTCGGCACGAATGGGTCGGCTCGACCGGACTGATACCAGGGTCTCACAGAAAACCGGCGTGAAACAACTACAGTGTTGTGTTTCGCCGTGTGAATGAGGTTACCGGAGGCCCAATCCTTTGTCTCCCCATCTTCAATCCTCAGATCCCCCTATCCTTAAATCCCTTAAACCTACAAGAGGTCGGCAACGCACTTGTAGTAACTCCTTTAGTACTACGAGTGTCAATGGGCGACGCAGATTGCTTACCATCAGGTAATCGGTCTGCTCGTTTCTCTCTACTACATAGTATAAAACTAAAGCCCGGTTTCTGAAAGACTTGTCAACGCTAAAATTAACTAATCTCCTGTTAAATCTCTTGGTTGTTGGTATTGGTTGTTGATAATTCAGTAAACCAATCAGATGACTTGACAAGAAATTAAATAGATTTTAATATTGATCGGCCTTTCGGAAACCGGGTGTAAGTCGCTTTCTTTGTCCCTATATTCCTATGTATACTTCAATCTTTAAAACTACGCAACGGATTTTAATAGAAAGAGTGATTGAAGAGGAAGGTTTACATGTATAATAACATCCATTAAATAGTGGAGAAATTTAGTATCAGCATTGGAACCGCGGCGGGTCGCGTCGCTGAAAAAAACATTAAGCCGTTGTCATTCAACTGTGAAGTGCGAAAATGTATAAGTACTTACTCCTCCATAACTTTAGCGATGTAAGGAAGGTGCATCTCGATCGAATGCTCATCTTCATCAGTTTGAACATCCATCCATTCGAATTGGCGAGTCGCTTCCAGTTCCGCGTAAACTGGGAACAACATCAATTCATATAACCCCTCCTATTATGGATGCCTCACGATATTATTAAATACTAACGCCCGCTTCGGACGGGTCCAACTACCTCGCTATCAAAGGGCCACTTTTTCCTAATCTTCCCCTCTACTTTTCCAATATTTTCTTTAATAAGAACCTTCTCCTGACAATAACAAACACAACAAAAAAAGAATTAGCAAAATTGGTCCAGGCGTTGTTGAGTTATGCGCTTACCAACACATTTTGCGATCCATTTTCATACATACTTTTTTCGAAACTTTGAGAAGACGCGACGGCGAGAAAGAGGGATGGAGCTATACACAATTTATATCTCCATCCCTCTCTCTCGCCTGGAATATTCACGATTTAAAACGTCATGGTAGGCCTACTGATTGCCTTAGACCAATCGGAGCGACGAAAGTCATAAACTGACGCGCGGTTCGCACAACGAAAAATGTAGTTGATATTCCCGAACGAATATGATCATCTAACCTCCAAAAAAACAATACCTACAACTTAGTTTTTAATGTTGGCAGCAGTATTTTTTGATAACTTAGAAAACTGTTATTTTTCATCATCATCATCAGCCTGTTGTCGTCCACTGCTGGACATAGGCCTCCCCAATTGCACGCCACTGAGCTCGATGTTCAGCTCTTCTCATCCAACCACTGCCAGCCACCCTGCGGATGTCGTCAGTCCACCTAGCTGGAGGGCGCCCTACACTACGTTTGCCTAGACGTGGTCTCCACTCTAGAACACGTTTACTCCATCGGTCATCGGTTCTTCGACAGATGTGACCTGCCCACTGCCACTTAAGTTTGCTAATCCTTTGGGCTATGTCGATAACCTTAGTTCTCTGTCGGATCACCTCGTTTCGAATACGATCCTTCAGAGAGACTCCAAGCATAGCCCTTTCCATAGCTCGCTGAGCGACTTTAAATTGGTGGATCAGTCGCACTGTAAGTGTCCACGTCTCGGCTCCGTATGTCATCACTGGTAGGACGCACTCATTGAAGACTTTTGTCTTCAGGCTTTGCGGTATCTTTGACGAGAATACCCGACTGAGTTTCCTATACGCTGCCCAGCCAAGCTGTATCCTCCTACGAGCCTCCCTGTCGAAGTTATTTCTACCGAACTGGATAGTTTGCCCGAGGTAGACGTACTCTTGAACAACCTCGAGAGGAGATCCATTGATGGTGATCGGCTCCGGGAGAACATGTTCATTGAACATGACCTTCGTTTTTTGTAGGTTCATCCGGAGTCCGATGCGAGCAGAGGAATCAGCCAGGCTGTTCAGCATATATTGTAAGTCCTGCACGGTTTCAGCCACGATTACAATGTCATCTGCAAATCTCAAGTGTGAGAGATACTTGCCGTTAATATTTAGGCCCCGGCCTTTCCAGCGCAGCGTCTTGAACATATCCTCCAAAGCATTAGTAAACAGTTTGGGGGAAATAACGTCCCCCTGTCTTACGCCCCGATGCAGGTGGATAGGTTCAGACTGCTGGTTCTGTACTTGAACGACCATAGTGGCAGCATCATATAGATCTCTCAACACTTGAACATACCGCCAGTCGACTTGGCACCGTTGCAAGGACTCCAGAACAGCCCAGGTTTCGACAGTATCAAAGGCTTTCTCGTAGTCCACAAACGCCAGGCATAAGGGCAGATTATACTCTTCGGTTTTCTGTACAATCTGCCTCACTGTATGTATGTGGTCCACGGTACCATATCCCCCTCGGAACCCGGCCTGCTCAGGGGGCTGAAACTCGTCGAGTCTTCGCGCGAGACGATTTGTTATGACCCTGGAAAACAGCTTATAGACGTGGCTCAGAAGAGAAATAGGTCGGTAGTTCTTCAGAAGGGTTTTGTCTCCCTTTTTAAAGAACATAATGACGACACTTTTGCCCCACGCCCTTGGAGTTCTCCCCGAGAATAGAACGGAATCAAACAAGCGTTTATTTTTACTTTAGATAAAAATAAAGTAAATGAATTTAGTTTAGGACGTTACTTTCTTTAGAGAAGATTTTTATATAAAAATATTGCCGTTACGATTTTCTCATGTGTCGTGGATGCGTTTATAAATCTACAATTTTACATACACATCACACCCAGACCCGGAACAACAATTTGTGGATCACACAGAGTTGTCATATCTTCATCTATATCAAAATGGATCGCAAAATGTGTTGGTAAGCGCATAGCTCAACAACGCCTGGACCAATTTTGCTAAGTCTTTTTTTGTTGTGTTTGTTATTGTCAGGAGAAAGTTCTCATCAAAGAAAATGTTAGAAAAGTAGAGGGGAAGATTAGGAAAAAGTGAAACTGATAGCGAGATAGTTGGACCCATGCGAAGCGGGGGCGGGTCGCTAGTTATATAATAGGGGTTTGTGTACAAATACGGTAGTTTCCTAGTCAAATTCAATACTTTTATGCAAATGTCAAAAACTATATTTTTCTGACAAATTTCTATGAAAAACTGAGTTATGACGTCATAGTTTTTTTTGCGTCAAATAGTTTACTTATTTCTTTAAAATTAGCTACAAAATATCTAAAATTTTGTGTATCGATCGATCGATGAATAAAAGTGTAGTTATTTTTCAATATTTTACTGTAGATATTGAAACGTCGAATTAATTTATTGTTGACCTAGGACTACCCAATTGAGTCATTGTGATCAAACTGTGCTTTTTTCAAAGAGTAACGATGGACTTTCTCGATCTTTCTTCTCTACTCGACTCTACACTTTGGAACGAGCACCTAGCTTCACAGAAGAACAGAATGACGAACTATTTATTATAATATTGTGACATTCCCAAAGTACCTGTTTATGGTTTAGTTGGAAAAAATTACTTTTACTAATGTAAAGTCGATATAAAAAATAACAGGCGATAAAAATACTCACTTTGCTTATCGATGGTGAGATCGTAGAGAGGAGTTTGGTACTTGTCGAGCGACGAGAGGGCGCAACCTCCGAGCCTCACGTGGTGGGAGGGACCAAGGATGAAGATACGCTTGCTGTAATCGAAATACATTTTACCTATATTATTCTTATAGGTACTAGATACACCAAGATTTCTCCTATATTGAGGACTAGCTACTCTCGTGCGGTTACACTCGCTGCTCGGCTCCATTTAATCGTAGCGTGATGTTTTATAGCCTATAGCACTCAGGAACATTGTAGGTATCTATCAGTGAAAGAATTTTGGAAATCACATAATTTTCGGAATTTTCAAATTTACATACAAACTTACAAATTTTACCTTTTTATAAAATTAGTATAGAAGTGTCTACAAAATCAAAATTCACATACATATCACATTATTGGACCCGGAATAACAATTATTTGTAAATCAAACAAAAGTATTTTTCGTACGGGACTCGCCCCGCGACACGTTGCACAACAGCAGATTGCGCCATACGTACTGTCTTCTGTAATTATCCTAAGACCTAGTAATTTGATATTTTCCCTCAATCACTTAACTTTACGACTAGTTTCAAGCTAAACGGGCTCCTATAATAGTGTGAGACGTATGTTATGCGAGCGAGTGGAGTTGCGGGTGTCCATGACCGGCGCCGATTGCTTACCATCAGGTAATCCGTCTGCTCGTTTACCGACCTATTCCATAAAAAATATACACATACACACACACCGCACGCAATCAAAAGACAAATTTATGTATCAACGCAAAAAAAAATATAAATTTATACTTACACAACTACGGGACTAACTTGTCTGTAGGCAAACGCTGCACACGCGCCGCAATAAGAATACCCAGCGTGGCTGTTGAAAAAAAAATGTAAAAATACCATTACGCCTTATAACCCCAAAAGGAATAGGTAGAGTAAACAATGAAATAAGTATTAACATTAAGCAATTATTACGTTTTTTTTTTTTGTATTTTCGTAATATCAAACTACATTAATGCGATCAAGTTTTGACAGCTGTCATGGACTAAAAGTACTTTAAGCGACACTAGCGCCAGTTAATGAGAACTACCTACCTTTAAATTCAAATTTCACATAAGTAGGTATATTTCTTAAAAGGTGAGGGAGAGCCATGCTTCGACACATAAGGAACACACCACTATTTACAATCTGTTCTCTCATATCTCAAGAGATAGAAAAGCAAGAAAATAGCAATTCAAAAAGTCCGTATATTACAAATCTCTATCGAATACAATGTACCATTTAGTTGGCTTTCGCGGCATTTTTGCAGCTTACTTTTATAATGAAGTATATCTCATATATTTTTTATCATATAAACTAGAGCTTGATTGCAATCCCACATGATGGTAAGCAGTGATGCAATCGTTGATGGTAAGGGGCAGTGGTCTAGCCTTGAAGACACCTAAATCACAACTGGACGGGAAGATTTGAGGGGGATAGGGGTTCTGTGAAACAAACTTACGGTGCAATGATGGCCCTAGCTGGTCCATGGGTGAGATCCGCTTTCGACAGCCAGAGGTCCAGCTGACGCGACAGCTCGTTACCTAGGAAAAAGGATACAAAATAATCTTAAAACAAGTTATTTGAAGGTAACATTTGTTTGTTATGGGATAGGTTCGAAAACGAGCAGATGGATTACCTGATGGTAAGTAATCGGCGACGACAATGGGCACCCTTAACACCAAAGGAGTTACGAGTGCGCTGGCGGCCTTTTGGAGATAATGGTTTCGAATATTTAAGGATTGGGAAGGGATGGGGGAGGATTGGACCTCCGGTAACCTCATTCCCACGGCGAAACGCATCGCTGTGGTTGTTACACGCCGGTTTTCTGTGAGGGCGTGGTATGGCTCCGACATGGTCGAGCCGACCCATTCGTGCCGAATCTAGGCACTCGTAGCCTTACATGTGTCCATATGCGGCGCTGATTGCTTACCATCATGTAATCCGCCGACATCATGCCGACCTTGAAACTAAGTTTCCAAATGACCTTTAGATTAACGCGTTTTAGTCAGAAGAAACTGACTCTAATGAGACTAAATGACTGTTACTAATCCAAGGGCTGATTTTTCAATAGTCAGGTGTTATTTGAGGAATAAACTTGCTGTCACTGTCTTATACAAACATTCTGACGCGACAGCATCATAATTATTCCCCAGGTAACTTTTATCTAATCATTGAAAAATCAGCCCTTAATCTAATGAAGACTCTATTGAGTCCAATTTATGAGCCTGTGTACTAGAAGGCAGTCTAAGGTTCCACCAGTCAGCTTTGGATTCCTTCATAACACTAGGTCAATGGTAGATACTTACCAAAATATCGCATTGACACCATGTCACCTAAGGCTAATCTATACACATTTGCCAAGATTCATGATGATACAACGATTACAAGTGTAAGACAGATCCGAAGATTTTATTATTTAACTAGCGGCCCACCCCCGCTTCGCATGGGTCCAACTATCTCGCTATCAAAGGGGTTATTTTTTCCTAATCTTCCTTTCGAAGATAGAAGAACCTTCTCCTGACAATAACAAACACAACAAAAAAAGAATTAGCAAAATTGGTCCAGGCGTTCTTGAGTTATGCGCTTACCAACACATTTTGCGATCCATTTTATATATACCTACTTAATTAGTTACAGGTAGAGGATTCGATCCCGGGATCCCGAAAACCGGGATCCCGGAATCCCGATCATATTTTAGTCCCGAAAATCTCGGGATCCAATGAATCCCGGGATTTTCGGGACTTAAACATTTTTTTAATAATTCATTAAAAATGTGCGTGAAACGAAACGCGCTTACTTTCATTTGACGTTAAACGTCAAAATTTGCCAGTAGTTCCACACGAGGTCATAATTTGGAGAAGGCTTATAAAAATTTATTGACGATTCCTCCAACTTCCATCGAGCCTTAACGCGCGTTTTCCGCTGTTTCATATTTGTGCAACAAATTAAGAAGCATGCTTTCGGATGAGACGTTGGATGCGTTGTTATTTCTTAGATTTTATTTTCGTGGCTTAAATAAGTAAATTATAGTTCCTGGTCTATTTTATTTAAAATATTAGTAGTCCTATTAACATTGATCTCTTTTGACAAATATTAGAAGTTGATTTTTTTAAGTTTATTGTAAAATATAAAATAAACAGACTAGGCAATATTTTTTATAAGGGCATAGTTTATTAATTTTATTAGAAGAAATAATAATTTTGTTTTGTTTTTGAAGATTTAAGTAAAGATTTAAAATAAAAGGTTGATTTTGATATGTTTACTTCTTTTTAATTGCTACCATTTTCTTTACCAATAAAATCCCGGGATCCCGGTATTAACAGTCGATAATCCCGAAATCCCGGGACTAGAAAAATCGACCGGGATCGAATCCTCTAGTTACAGGTCGATTTTAAAGGATTGTTAAAATATTTATAAATGTTAAAGGTAGATAGGTAAAAACAATGATATTATAATTAAAAAGGTGTAGATAGGTTACAAGCGCTCAGCAAGTGATACATTAAAATGTGGCTAACTAGCCACACTTTCATATTTGTCTCTTTTTCACTCGCGATTATTGAATCATGCCATCCCACTTTAACATGAATCATACGATTTATTCATGTGCGCATAAGTGTGCCGTTTTTGAAAATCGAATGTTGTTTATGTAACCTACCTATACCATTTTTTTATATAATATCGTTGGTTACAAATAAAACAATATTATATTTTTTCTGACATTTATTTTATAACAAGATATAAATAGGAAAGCATTGACATAACATAGACAATTAAAAAATATTTGCTATTTTTAAGGCCTGTGTTACAACACAAAATCAATAAAATTACTAATTTTGAAACTAAAATGAACATTTGATCCCATTAGAGTAATATTTTTTGTTTTTTTTTATCAAAGTGTGCTGTTTCAAAGATTATATAATAATTTTATAACTGTAAAAAGTCGTATAAAATAGACAATAAGGACATTGTAATGAAAACATATAAATCAAAAAATCTAACATATTTCTTGCACAAAATGGATCACCCTGAGGCTTACATACATACTAGCTTTTGCCCCCTACTCCGCTCACGTGGAATAGTGACTTCCTGCTGACTTTTGGTATAAAAACTATCCTATGTCCTATCTCGAGTTCCAAATTATGTCTGTACCACATATATAGATAATAGCTTTTTTACTCTGCAACCCCAGCTACTGGTAGAAAATGCCTCAAGTCCGAATAAGAACCCACTACAGTTTATTTAGTTTCATAAATAAATATTAGAAAATTTCATTATGCTTTAAAACATCTCCATTGTTGTACTGAACACAATAATGGCTTATGACTGTTCAGTCTTGGATCTGTGCCAGAGTCAGACAAAGAAGAATAAGATGTTTTTCTTCGTCTGCTTTTGATCGTAGCGTGACGATTTAGCCTATACAGTTCATCACACTAGTATTTCCTCCTGAGTCGTGGGTGCGTTCGCGAGCCGATAAAACAATTTGTGGATCACACAAAATGTTGTTCCGTGAGGGAAAAAACACGCGACGTGTTGCACAGCAGTCAGTTGCTGCCCACTGAGCCAACCGTGCAGTCAAAAATGTTGTTTCGGGTCTTGATGTAGATAACATATGGGTGAATATACAAAAATTGGGTAACTCAATGTCATCAGTCAATATATGCAAAGTCTTATTATATTTTATTGAGATTACAATTTATTTTAAAACAATGAAAGGTCCTTTATTTGGTCACCCAATCACAGCTCTTCATTTTAAATAAAAGTTAATAAAAAACCACATTAAATGCTTAAAACGTCAGTCCTTTGGCATGTCACAATCCCGAAAACCAACAATCAAGTGACTATCTATTAAACATTATCATTGATTTGAGAAAACTTCCTAATCTACTACAATCTGTGATTTACATAGTAATATATACTACAACTTTCATAATGCAATGTTCTCCACATTATTTAAAAAAAATTAAGAAACTTTGTGTTTGTTTTATTCGTCAGTCCACTGTGCGTTGTTTAAAATTGAAATTCGCGCCAAATTATCACCGACTCAAAGTCAAATCGCTGTTTGAATTTTAATGTTGGTAATGAAGTTAGTTGCGGATTGCACAATTTGATGGCCGCCATAACTGTACCAGTGCTTGGGTTGTATTAGGGTATTTGACGACATATAAAATAAACTATAATTTATTGTCATCCTAACTAATTATAGGTAAATTAAACATATTACATTTTTTTTAATTAAAATATCATGTATTTTCAGAGTATTTCGTGAATAAAGTTGAAAATCATTTTCTTTTTTTTTTCGGTGATAGAAACGTTCTGTCATTGGTTGCCATTGTGATGACGTCGCACGCAAGTAAACAAAGCACATTTGACAGAGTTTAGTACGCCGTTTACTTGTTATAAAGTGTTTCGATTCGATTTTTGAGTGATTATTTAACATTTTCATTTAATTTCTAACACAATTTTTTATTACGAAACTCTCGAGTACAAAATATCTAAGATGGAATCCAATTACGAGCGAGCAGATAACAGCAATCTACCTAAGATCGACCCATTCATGGTAGCATTATTTTTTAAAAATAATGCCGATTATTATGCTGCAGAACTAAAAAATGTAAAAACAGCAGTGTAAGTACCACGCAACAATTATTTGTTTATATTTTGTACAAAAAATCATTCGTGTATTTTAGGTTATAAAAATTTCAGTACCTTCAGTAATAGTTTTATTTGCAGGTCTGCAAGAGAGTCATACGGTGATGATGCCGTTGGGTACGTCCAGCTATATCGCGACAATGGAATTTGTACAGTGAAATGTAAAATGTGCCCGGAACATAAAGTGCGCACCAAAGCTTACAATGTTACCCTAATCGTTAATGAAAATGACGGTGAAATAATAAGCTGTGAGTGCCATGACTGTGCGGCTTCAGCTGGAGGATGTAAACATGCAGTTGCCTTTTTGATGTGGGTCCATCGTCGCAGCGAGGAACCGGCATGTACTTCGGTGGAGTGTTACTGGAAGAAGCCTGCTCTGTCTAGAGTAGGAACCACTTTAAAGTTCATCACTATAGAACAAATGACCAAGACCCTTGTTCCACACAGACCTAGCACATCAGCACTATGTGAAGACTTTATTTTAGAAGCAAAAAAGAGAAAAATTAATAAGTGTGAATTGCTAAAATATCAAAACGATTTTGTGCATAGTGACATTACTCGTTACTCGTTGCATAGCTTCATGGTTAATCTACCTCAAGAAACTAAGAATGATGTAGGCTTGCTCTTAAGCGTTATGAAAAGTGCATTCACTAGTGATATAATAAAAAATATAGAAGAAGCGACTAGGCAGCAGAATAAAACTAACTTTTGGTATGAACTGCGGTATGGCCGTATCACTGCTTCAAAAGCCCACGAAGTGAGTGTTTGCCATACAACTGATGGAGCATTAGTGGCCACTATAATGGGGGCAAAAATACCTGATACAGTGGCCATGAAAAGAGGAAGAATTCTAGAGCTTTCTGTCCGGAAAGCTGTAAGCAACAAATTGAAA